AGTATCACATCAGTGGTTCTTATGGGGTAATTAAATAACTCTTTGTGCCCACAGGAGCAGCTCAGTGTCTGTGTGAGTGGAACCAAGGCTCGATTCTCATCACCACCATCTATCTGCAGGTGTGTGGCACAGCCCAGGAGCTCCTCAGGAGTTCCCTGGAGAATCAGGAGGTTGGAGTCAGGTGGGGGTTGGTCTCTTCTCCCAGGCAACCAGCAGCAGGACAAGAGGGCACAGACTCAAGCTCTGCCAGGGGAGGGTTAGGTTGGATATTAGGGAGAGATTTTTTCCAGGGAGAGTGATCAGACATTGGAATGTGCTGCCCAGGGAGGTGGTGGATGCCCCATCCCTGGAGGTTTTCAAGCTGAGACTGGATGTGGCACTTAGTGCCATGGGCTAGTGACCACGGTAGGGTTGGACTGGATGATCCTGGAGGTCTCTTCCAACCAGGTTGAGTCGATGATTCTATGACTCTGCTGAGCCAAGCTCATCATAGATGACCCGTTGTGTCCCCAGCTCGCCCCGCATGGCCGGGCGGACAGCGCCCCCTGCCGGAGGAGGAGGGAGAGGCGCTCAGGACCCGAATTTCTCCTCCGAAACGAAGCTGGGAAAGGAATTCTTTCCTATGACATCTAAATAATTTTTTTTTTTTAAATAGCCGAAGTGTGATGCTGTGGAGAAACATGAGAATTACACCGTGATGAATGTTAAAAGTACATTAAGAAACACGCAGTTTGCTGTTTTCACAAACTCTATATCAATGACAAAAATTATGACAAAAATTAAATGGCAAAAAAAGAACATCAAGGGCAAAAAATTAAACGTAACAAAGAGCTTTTAAAGCACCGTGTTCAGGCGAGTGAAACTCTCCAAAGGAACTGCCCTCGGGCGCTCTAAGTTGTTATACAGTTAATTTTCTTTGAAACTATTTTTGTCTGCCTCTCTCTAAATAGGTGGTTTCTTAAGTGAGTGTTACTTAAAGGAAACCAATCTGTTTTTCAGGAAGGGCTGATGATGTCAGTCCTTTCAACTCTGCTTTCCCATAAGAATTCTTCTAGTAAAAGGAGTTTCGCTCTGGGAAATAGCGAAAAGTAACGTGAAAATATTTCAAGCATCCCGGGCTGAATGTTTATCGAGCTTCCAGTTTTATGCTTGGATTTTTGTCATGTTGAGATTGTAACAAATGAAGGAAAAGTGAGACCAAACCTGCTGATATTTCAAAGCAAAGATTTTGCAGTGAAAAACGTGCCGTGCTGAAATATTTATCAAGAGATTAATACAAGCCTGAGTGCACGACTGACAGAACGAGATGGTTTTTCATCAGTCTGAATTTATCCACTCCATCTCAGCGTTGCTATTAAACCCCAAACGGAGCCACGGTGTGTTACCAACAGTTTTTTTTGCAAAATTGATCTGTCCAAATAAATACTTCAATCCCCAACAAAATGCAAGAGAAATTCAGAGAGTATCTCGTTATTATGGAGTGGTTTTAGTAGGTGCAGGATGTGGAGTTGTAGCTCCAATGTGTGTTTAACTCACTGTGTTATGATTTGTCCTGATACTGGAAATTCCAACAACAGAAACTCTGAGCAGAGCTACAGAGACTTTATTTCTCTAACTGGTGGTGCAAGAGTAATGATATTAACACACGGCAAATTTTAATTTGCAGAGTAAATATAACAAGAGTTCTATATAGTTTTCGATCTTCCACATAAAGCACTGCATTTTTACAGCTAAATGCTCCTTGCTAGTCCCACAGAGGTGTCCTGAAGAGGCATTTGCATCATCAAGGACTTAGTTCTGCTTTAATTACACATCCCTCAATCCACACAATGTACCTGTGACCCAGGTAAGGACCACAAACCCCACTGGATACAAGCAAAAAGGTCACACAAGGCAATATTCTACCCTAATGTTCACCCCTACGACCAAGTGATGTCGTAATAGTCTTATAATAGTAAAAGCCCATAAAAGGATCCCAACCTAACTCAGATATTCCTGACAACTCACTCTGGCAATCCAAGGGAATGACAAAAATACAACCTCACTGGATTAGCAGACAGAGCAGCCCAAACAAAATCTCTGTCGGCTATAAAAGGTGCAAAGGAAATATCTTTTTTATCAGCCTCTCTTTAACAGTTTACTTCATTCTGGTGGAAAGAACAAAGCCAAACGATGATTCACTTGGAAATGAAATCATCCCCACCCCCAGTAAAGGCTGAGCTGGGTGGGTAAACAGTTCCTGGGGTGCTCCACTCAATGTAAATAGATTGCCTTGCTACTATATACACAGCAAACAGTTTCAGTTTGAGAGCAGGAGGGAAAAAACAAGTGAGAAAAATACGACAGAGCCTGAACTCCGAAAATATTTACAAGAACAAAAGCTAATCACAAGTTACCATCAATAGGTTACAACTGCTAATCATTAGATAACAAGTGAACACTTTGTGCACAGCAGTTCAGCCTTTTGGCCTAAGGTTGTAGCAATGATATGATAATGCAAGAGAAATATTATCAGAAGGATTAACAGCAGCTTTTTAACCTTAGGGTTTACTGAAACCTTTCTAGACTGCAAAGGATGTAAGAGGAAAATCGTGATGACATGACTCTGTGCAAAAAAATCCTCCAGTTTACCACAACCTCAGCCACTTAACCAACACTGGCCCAGTGCTCTCCAGGACATGGTTTTATTTCCTTTATCATCTGCTGCATTTAAAGGGATGATTAAGGAAAGTAAGTTATTCCTCTTGAAGAAAAGTTCAAAATTAAAGTAACTGCACACACAGGGAACACAGAGATTATTCCTGTTGTCACACAGCAGAAAGCTGATGGAGAAAATCAGCTGAAGATTTACCAGCAGAGCAAGTTAAAAGGAAAGCAAAGCATGAAACCCCAAACTGCTCTTTGTGTCTCACTCCTGTCACCACTGCCCTAACTCCCCCAAACAACAGTAATTTACCATCAGAATATGGGAAGGAGCTGCTACAATCTGAATAAACACATATTAGCTCACAAATTAAAATGATCATCAGGCTCTGGCTAATCCAGAGGACACACACACACACACACACACACAGTTCCTCTGTTCAGTCACTATGAACTCACACAATAAATATTACCCAAAATATTACAAGATTTTACCAAATAGACTCTTTCAAACCAAACTATTTTATCTCCTTTTCCTGTTATTTTTTAAGCCAACTCCTCCACACAATCCCCACACATTTCTCATGGAAATATTTCATAGGAAGGTTTACAAGTTACCAACACACAGTCTTAGCACGTGTCCAGGCCCTTCCACAGTGAGGAAGTGATGAGCACAATCTGTGTGAAGTCCTCCAGGAACCAAAGTCACTTTCCTGCCTTAATTCTCAGCCCACGTGCAGCTTTCCACTGGAGCTAAGTGTTTAAACAGAGCTCAATTTCAAGCAATGATGAGTGCACAGAGATCTTGAAAGAAATCTGATTTATTATCTTTCAAGGCAGACATCTGCAAACTGAAGCTTAGGACCCCTGAGACACTCCCCTTGCTGCTGTTCCCTTTCCCTCAGGAACTCATCCTGTCTCCTACCTAGACACTCTGCCCACCACGGAGCATCCTGGAGCATCCTTTAAACAAGAGTGCTAAATCTATTTAAAACTTCAAATGTACCTCAGAGTACTGCAAAGGCAACGATTTACTGCAATTTCCCTTGACAGAAAACAGAATTGGCTGGATGAAAGCTACACAAGTTGCTAGTTCCTTCCTCTCCTCTACATGATGCCAATGGTTAAAAGGGATGGGATGTGCCACAGCAAACCTTGACAGAACTTACCCAGCCTGTGTCAGGCCTGTACAGGGATGAGAGAAAGGAACATGGTGCATCCACAACTGTCTCCAAGGAGAAGGAAACTTCAGATCACGTTTTGGGAGCCTTCCAGTGGCTCCAGAACAGCCATGCACAAACCTTTGTTCGGAACAGGCCAAAGAAAGGAGAGGATACAGAGGCTTCTTCTGAGACAAGTCTGTTTCCCCTAATAATCACCAAGCCATGAAACAGTTCCTTTGATTCAGAGATCCCACAAAGGTTCTCTCTCTAGCAGAAAGCTCAGCACAGAGTTGGGCTTTCAGGAGCACCAACCCTCCTCATGATTCAGGAGGTTGGACCATATTTACTGCTCTCAGGCTGGAAATGGGTGGCTGCCCCTAACAAACTGCTGTTTAAACATTCACTTCCATGGAAGTTGGGACTTACTTAATAGAAAGGGAGGCATAAGGATGCAGCAAATCCCAAATCCAAACAAAGCAGCTTCTAGCTCAGACCTCATGGAAGAGAAGGGCAGGAAGAATGGCAAAGACAGAACTGAAGAAGTTAGGACAATGATTTCTGAAACCTTTTCCTGAGACTTCCCTTTCACATCCTTTGAGTTTCCCCAAAGCACATGGAATAATAGAATCCTCAAGGCTGGAAGAGACCTGGAGATCAAGTCCAACTGTTAACCTGTCACTCTGCTGTAACACACATCCATCACAGGACCAGGATGCACAGATCAATTCCCACAGATTTTTTACCTTTGCACGTTGTCACATTGCTCATACACACAAAAAGGGAGAAAAATCTGTGCCATGAACTTCCCACTGCCTTATTTCCACATTTCTCCTCCAGCAGTGTTTACTGGAGATATCCAGATGTGCTTTGTGATCATTGAGCAATGAGAATTTTAGGTAACTGCACTTGAACTCAGACCACATTCCTGACCCTGTGCTAGATGGAAACCAAACTTGGAACCTAAAGACCCCCAAACTTTCAGTTCAGAGTGGAAATTATCAGCACATCTGTGATGGCATCATTTACTTACATGGCAAAATTAGAACAGCAGTGACAGGTTGATGCTTGGACTTGATGAGCTTAGAGATCTCCTCCAACCTTGATGATTCTCTGAACCTTGTGGAGCATTTACACCTTATACGAAGCTAATCGACAACACAAGGAGGAGGAAAACAGGTCAAAGAGTGGATTTACCGTGGAGTGGTGATCCAGAGGGGCTGCTTGAGAGGCCTGGGACAGGGCTACAACGTCCTCCTTGCTTCGAGGTGAGCTCCTGCTCAATCTCTTCCAGCCCTGCACTCTTCTGGAAGCGACTCATGCGATTGACGACGCGCGGGGACATGTGTGTGCGCACGCAGGGCTGTCCTCCGTAGGGGTTGATGGGGAAGACGTGGGACGTGCCCCGGAGGGTGCTGACCACCACCCAACGGCAGTCGTGGCTGAAGGAGATGTCCTGGACCTGCAACACAGCAGTGACATGGCATGGAGTCACCAACACGCACAGCTCAGGCGCAGGAAATGGGCTGAGGTGTTTGAGACTTCACTGGAAATCACAGAATTTAAGGGTTGGAATGGATCTTACAGACCATCCAGTCTCAACCCTCCCTGCCCTGGGCAGGGACAGCTCCTCACTAGATCACTCAAAGCCTCATCCAGCCTGGCCTTGAACACCACCAGGGGCAGGGCAGGGATAAAATCCCTCATTTTAGGCAATAACTTGAACTTTGTGTATATATCAATACTTAGTATTCAGGACATGTTATCTAAATCATACATATTATTCAATATAAGCTGCAGTGCAACACCCAGTTCCAAACTTCATGTGCTTTTCAAAATATTCTGAGATTTTCCTTGCCAACAGGCCTGAACTTCTGAAAACAACCCACACTGCAAAGTGCCACAGAAAGCCACAAGAGCCTGGTGGAATTTTCAAACAGAACTGAGTTCTAAAACGAGCTGGGAAATTGTTTCAATTACATGTTTTGTATTGGCTTGTTTAATTTTTAGAGATTACCCAAAAAAGGGGGAAAGGGAGGGATGAGGAAAAAGGCAGAGATCTCACCACTGGGCCTGAGATTGATAAACACTGGCACAAGTCTTATTTTAGCTTTAAATGGTCAGTTCTGAAGCAAACGTAAAAATACAGTTAAACATTTTCCACTGTAGTTACTCCTTGCATAGATCTCAGATATAAAGTCCAGAAGGATTTAATTCTCTTTTAAGTTGCTTTACACAAGGCTTTGATGGAAAGCAAATTCTTGGTCCTGAAGGAATGCTTTAAAAGAGAGATTAAAGTTTGTTTCCAAGCCCGTCCTGGCAGACAACTCAAGAAAACAAGTAGTCGAGGTTAAAATGATTTATCATAGAGAAAAACAAAGCCCTAAAACAATTCTTCCCAACATGTTTTTAAAGGTAAAAGCTGACTAAAAAGACCCACGGACACAAGTGGGATTTACCACAGCAAACAAATATATAGATGAAGGATTAGTGTTCATTAGACTATTAAACAGCATAAATGAAATCCAATTCTTTCAGGTTTCATTGAGGCCAGTTTGACAATACACTAGGCACTCAAATTGGAGTAAACACTGATAAAATCGGACAAATATTCCAGAAATGCACTCCAGCTATTCCAGACAAAAGCAGCAAAGTATTCATCAAAGTACAAGTTTCCAACTGAGCCCTGAAGCCCTGGAGATAAAAAAAGGATTTAAGCCTTGTGACTGGTGACAAGATATTTGGCTGACAGACTGTCAGGACACGAAATGCTCCACCAAGAGCACAGAGAGAGACTCAGACCCAGCACTACACACCTGCTCCCTTCACTTTGGTGATGTACCCAATGAGCTGCTGGAGGAGCAGCTAAAGGAGCTCCAAAAAACCCGACAGGTTTTGGCACTTTCAGTGATTCTGCTATTACTGCCCTAAAGTCACAGCACTCAGAGCTCCGAGTTTGCTTACAAAGTGTTTCACCTTAATAGATGGCTGCAAAAGGATTAGAGACCCCACAGGGATTAACAAGAGCCAAAAAAAGAAAGCCCCAAGCCGTGGAGTCAGGGGAGAAACGATGGCACCAGGAGTATTTCAGTACCTGAAGGGGAAATTCTGCTGGTCGAAATCAAACACAGGAACTGTATACAACTTTTCCCTCTCAGTTACAACAGAACTATGAGATGACAGAGGCAAAAAATTCCACCTCGCTGTGCTACGTAACAGAAATTTGTGTTTCTGCTTTCAGACTCAGCTTGCAGTTCCTTAGGGTTATGTTGGTTTAGAAACTACATACAACAGCCCTGGCACATGACAAGCCAAGCCAAGAAACTGGGAAACAATCACTACAGGATGGTTGGTTATTTTATCTCAGTGTAAACATTGCACAGAAAAAAAAAAGTATTCCTGGTCTACAGGAAGAAAGTGTGGAACTGTGTCATGCAAAAGGCTCTTTGAAACAGTGATCAGACTCTGCAGGCAGTGGGGATCGTGGCTGAAACCACAGAGGCAGAAAGGGTTTAATAGTAATAACAAGGAAAAAAAGTGTTGACAGATGAGTGTGAAATGAATTAAGATTTATAGGAGCAGAGCTATGAAACTCAGTGGCGACAGAAAGTACTCTGGGAGCTACCACTGCACACACAGTGATTCCACCTCTCTCCTGCTGGTCCCACACTGTCCTTCCCAGACAAACAACGAGCAGCAGAACCACAGACACTTCCAGGAGGGAATTCAGAGAGTATTTCCAGTTTCATACCAGGGCATGAATTAAATACACTCCTACCCAGGCTGTAACTCTCCAGTGGACCAGGCTGAGAGGAGAATGCTCATCGTGGCTGTCTCAGACTTCAAAAAATCAGCTGTGTGTGTCCATGCAAAGCCCTATAAATCAGTGCTGCTCTGCACCATGCTGTTCTGTGCATTACACAGAGTTCTTGACTGCTCCTCATATAAACAAACTGCACAGTGGCCCATTAGTGGTTTTCAAGTTTATGCTAAGCGTTGCAATTTATTGCTGTCCTTTAGGTTAATGTACTATTATTTCATGTATTTATAATATATTTCTGGATTTGTTGTTAATGATGATGTAATGTTTAGATACCAGAGATCAATCAAGACCCCATAGTGTTTACAGATATATGTTAATAAAGTACAAAGTACAGCAGATCTCTCACGATGCAAAGTTTATTCTATAGCTCAAGGTCAACATCACATTTAATACTCATGTCTGTAATTCAAAATTATATCTATCCTCTTCTGTCTGGGCCAGGAAAGGGAATTACAGACCTGAGATTTTGTTTAACTTGGGAACCCTTAAGACATTTTCAGCTGCAATGCTAAATCTTTTTGTGGGAACATCAGTGCTGTCTCCCAGCTTCACTGCCATTGCTTCCTCCTCCTTTGTGAGCAGTTTGGTCCCTTAAGCTTCACACTCCATTTCATGCATCCAAAAGTCTTGGTGAAATCCCTGGATATTTGAAGTCCTCATTAGAAACACCAAAGCCTTTTCTGGCCCAAAGGAATGCACTTAAGGCAACCACAGAATGTTCTAAGGGTAACTGCACATCCTCCAAGTCACCCATGAGTAAACCAGAGCTGCTGTGACTCCTGTCCTCAGCTTCCTTCAGTCTGTCACTTCTCTCACCTTCTCCATTGGGTTCACACAACCCTTTCCACCAAAGAGTTCACCTCTAACCTCCATAAATTTCTTTCACTCTTCCACTGTCTTCATAGAATCATGGAATGGTTTGGGTTGGAAGGACCTTAAAAATTATTCAGTCCCACCCCCTGCCATGGGCAGGGACACCTCCCACCAGCCCAGGGTGCTCCAAGCCCCATCCAACCTGGCCTGGAACACTCCCAGGGGATGGAGCAGCCACAGCTCCTGAAGCTTCTTTTTTTCCAGGCCGAACAATCCCAATTCTCTCACCTTTTCCTCACCTGTTCCATCCCTCTAATCATCTCTGCCTCCTCCAGACTCACTCCAACAGGTGATGTCCTTCCTATCTTCTGTTTTCCTTCCATTACTCTTCTATGCTTCTAACTTCCCCTACCCTATTTCCCTGTGTTTCAAACCCTGTGATGTAAAATCCTCCAGAAAACTGAATGAACATTTAGCTGCCATACCCAGAGCAAGACAGTCAGGTCATTCAATCTATGGAGTCACGTCATGTGTCGACAGCCCTACTGGAGATCAGTTTTCAAGGCTGCACAGATCAAAATATCAGTTCTGAGATTCCAAAAATGTGGAGGAAATCACCTGAACCAAAGGCTTCAAAGCTGACACACTTGTTTTACAGAGTGGAAATCTACATAAGGGTTTTTGCTGTGTTTTTCCTGATTCCTACAGCTTCTCCAGACTGAAACACTACACTGATGAGAACATATACATAAAGCAAATAAAATTAAAGCATCCCAGCCATGACTGAAAGCAAGCAAAACAGTAAGGGCAGCACATACACCTATTTTAGGGGCAGCTGATGGGAGCTGGCTGGTCAGAGCTTGGCTGCTGACACAAACACGGGCAGTGACCTTGTTTACCAGTGCTCTGGGAGTGAGTGGCAGCACACACCCAGCAGCTCCTGCATTTCAGGCCTTCCACAAGTTCCTGCTCCTCTCGCTGGCTGCACAACACTCCCATGGATACTGGCACTGATTCCCTTAGCAGGGAGAAGGAGCTTTGCTGAGCTATCACAGCCAAATCCACTCCTGATGCATGTGCATCATGCAACAGTTAGAATCACAGAATCAACCAGGTTGGAAAAGACCTCCAAGATCATCCAGTCCAACCCTACCGTGGTCACTAGCCCATGGCACTAAGTGCCACATCCAGTCTCAGCTTGAAAACCTCCAGGGATGGGGAATCCACCACCTCCCTGGGAAGCACATTCCAATGCCTGAGCACTCTCTCTGGAAAAAAATCTCTTCCTAATATCCAACCTAACCCTCCCCTGGCAGAGCTTGAGTCTGTGCCCTCTTGTCCTGCTGCTGGTTGCCTGGGAGCAGAGACCAACCCCCACCTGACTCCAACCTACACACCACTATTTGAGGCACATCACTAAAGTATTTAACTATTCTGTGCAGGGAGATGGCAGAGAGAAAAACCAGTATCATTAAACAATGAGAAAGAGCAGCAGCACTGAGGAGGTAAGGGGCAAAATGCATTAGAAAACTGGTCTGTATGGGAGTTGTTTTGGTTGAGAAAATTAAGGAAATGATGTAGCAACGAACACAAATGAAAAAATAATAAAATCATGGACTGCACAAGATGATTTATCAGACACACACAGACTCAACTCTGTCTCTGAGCCCTCAAACCTGATTTCAGTTCTATAGAAAAGCAAGGGCAGGATCTGGGCACAGTGAGACATCCACGTGGGGCCTGGAACTGCAAATGCCTCTGCTCAGAGCTCTGTCTCCTTAGTGTACTCCAGCTACTCCTAATTGCTGCAGTTTCTTACTGTCTGCTCTCATCAAAGACTCATCAACATCCCTAAATCAATCTTTATTATTTCAAGTCTGTCCCCAGCTTCTTCCCTAGAAATAACAGAGTCTTTCTTCCAGGATCTATTTCAAGAACTGCAACTACACAAGTTTGTCAAAGGACAGGAAGAAATTTCTACTGACCACAGAGGTTCCCATCAAATGTTTGAGAGTCGTTCCTATGTTTTGCTACCTGGACATGGTATGTGACACAGCCTTGAGCAATCCCTGTGGAATCACATCCCAAAACCATTCACACATTCCATAGAAATCACATGTGTTCCATGGCAGCCCAGGCTGGAATGCTTTCCTCATTCCCTCTGTTTACCTACACGGCTGAAATCGGTTCTGGAGGCAGTTGGAGTCAGAATAACACAAACCTGACAGGCTGAGAGACTCTGGAGAGCCCTGGCCAGCAGCCTGCTGATGCTATCTGCACGTTTATTTGTTCTAGGCTGAGATAACACTGTTTTCAGGGATTTTGTTTTCTCTGTTTACCATTTCAGATCAAAGAGAAAGGATCATCAGGTGACAGCCTGACTTGCATCTGCAAATAAATGAGCTCCCTCAGTTCAGAACATGCTATACCTTCATCAGGAACCTTCTCAAGTGCTCTTGGGTAAAAATATGAGTGCAGCAAGTGTTGACTCACAGTGCAAGAGGTGAAGGACCAGAAAATGTGTCCTTAACCCAAACATACACCACATACACAGGCACATTTTTCCTCTTTAAAGCTGAACTGTGCATGGAACCTCTAAGAGCTTCAGTTCTCCCTCTGGCACTGCTGAATACAACCAGTGCTTGCAAAGGACCTTCCTGATGTTACTCAGAGCATCAGACATGCTGCTTTTTGTTCTCTTAAGGGAAAACAAATAAAATCTAAAGCATAAGTGGCACTTAAAGGCTAAAAGATATTAGTCTAATGTAACCAAACAGTGACTTCTGTCTGTGTTTGCAGAACAGTGACTTTGAACGTTGTGACCTTGGGACTTGCATCACTCCAACCATTGAATGGTCTGAGCACTTCACATTCTTCCATGGCCATTGTCCTCACAATTCCCCTCTGAGGCAGAGGTCCACTTTCCATCTTACCCCATCTTCATCTGAGTCACACGAAGAAGCCAATGGCTTTGTCAGGAACTGGGAGATCTTCACAGTCCTGACTCAATGCTGGAGTCAGTACATCAGGCTCCTGCCTGTGTCTGCTGCTCAGCGTCAGCAAATACAACATCATTTGCAGTAAGAGCACTTTAAAACTCAATAACACTCAGTTTCACGGGTCAAAGAGAAAAGGAAAGCCATGCTAGGAACAGGAGCTGTGAGGAGTCAGGGAGAATGCAGTACTCACCCTTCCTTTGTATCAAGGGCAGGGGAAGCTCAAAGCCCTTACCCAGAATGGTACCTAAATCTCCCTCAGCATGATCAAATCCTGAGCTGGCAGGGCACACAGGCCCCTAAAGAGAAGATCACTGACAGCTGACGTGTGGGTGCCATGGAGACACTGCTTGACTGCAGTATTTGATCAGAAAACACCATTATTAAATCACAACACTTGTCTCTTTTCCTTTAGCACACACAAAGTATGCAACTTGTCCACCTGAGATGCTTCTGTCTAGGAAGAAGAGATTTCCTGTCACCTTCTCTCAGGAGGCAGATGAGACATCCAAGCTACTGGTCTGCCCTCCAACCACTCCAGACAAGGTAAAACAGAGACTGGGAATTCAGCAGCCCTGCAAACTGGGATACTCCAGGGCTGATATTCCAAACTGGGTGAAATTACAGGTCACACATTGCCATAACCAGATCTACCCATCAGGATTTGGAACACCAATAAACTGGTTCCCATAGTTCTGCTCCAAGTGAAGTTGGCCTGTCATGAATTACACTGCAGATCCAGCACTTCTTGGACAAACTGGTGTCACAGAACACTCCAGGTGCAGCCAGTCTGTGCAGAAACAGCAATCCCATATAGAAACTTCCATGTGTCCAGAGCTCAGCCATGCAGAGAAGTACCTGAAACTTCTAGAAACACCATCCATGTACCACTTCTTTGTCCATGGACTCAATGTCTTAGAATGTCAGTAGTGAGTGTGAGCAAGGAACACACTAATGGATCACAAAGGAAGCAAAGAAAAATCACCACCTCAGCCTGTGCAAGAAGGAGATGTGGGTAAGTGTGGGGTGAAGCTCTGTGGGCAGAACCTCATGTGCCAAAGCAGATGATTTCAGCATGGCCATGGAAATCCCACATGCAACACAGGCATAATGATGATGTTTAAACAATTTATAATGGGTACTAGCTAAACAAATCCTGACACTGATAATCACTCATGTCCATCAACACAAATTAGAACTTTTTATAGCTGCAGTCCAGAAGGTGACCTTTAAGACCATTGGCCTTGATTCACAGTTAGCTTTAAACCAGGGGGAAGAAAAAAAGGAAAAAGGTCTGGTTGCAAATGTGTAAACACTGTTCTAACCAGAAAGGAGGTACAGAGGCTCCCAGTGTGGCTCTCAGAGTATCTGCATGGAGAATTTTATATTGAACAGTCTCCAAAACTCTTGTACATGAAATTTATGGAACAAAAGAGCAGCACCACCAACCACTCTTCTCACTAAACAACTACACATGCTGTTACTGCAAAAGGAAAAGATAAAACAATCCATCATATCATGCAAATATTTTAAATGCTGTGTATTGAGAATCACAGGTACCAGTGCAATGTTGTTGAACTACCCAGGGAGCTGTGAAATCCACCAACACACCTCAGACTGGCTAGAATTTTCTCCATTTTATGCCATTCCAAAAGCTATACTGTTCAAATCCCAAATGCAAACTGTGTGGCAAACTAGGAAAAAAAATTTACTATGTTGATCCTGAGAATTTTAATGCAATGCTTTCATGGAGATGCTAATACTATATCCCAAAAAAACCCTGTGTATCAATAAGGGTTTCTTCTCTAAAACATATTCTGGTTGGTTTCCAATGTGTGCCTTGAAAACAAATTTATCAGCTGTAAAAACCAGAAGAACATCTTTGTTCCTACTGACTGGGGTCCTGTGCTTTGCTTTTCAATATTGAGTCTTTGTATGAAAGGAGAACAAAAATAACTCTGAAAGATTAAGCTCATTACAGGACCTGCTCACAGAGCTGTGTGTACACAGATCTCATTGCTCTTGCTGTTATTTATACAGGTTACTTGTTACTACTAGATATGTTAGCCCATATGCACAATTTTTCCTAATTCCTTCTCACTTTCCAGACTGGTTATTCCTCCTTAGAGCAAACCTTTGCCTAGAGCAGCAATGACACTTTTCCAGAACCTTTCTTGAAACTCCCAATCATTTAAATCCCAACAGATCAAAGCATCATCAACCACTGCTACATTCCATAAAGCTTTCAGATTCAACTTCTTACAAAGACAAAGCAAAAAAAAAAAACTTCAGGGAAACTGCACAACTCATAGGAAAAAAAAAAGAGGAAAAAGGTTGGAAGGTGCTCAGGGTACCACAAGAACCCAAGCTGGAGTGCTGGGGTGATCATCAGAGCGCCCGAGGCCTCTTGCTGTCACACTGCTTTACATCTGCCAGGCTGTCACAAGCCTGTGCTGTCAGTGTGTAATTGCATCAGCAAGTGCAGGACTCGTTTCTTACCCCGTGGTGACATTTTTATTTGTGTACTTGAAGCAGGTTGCTCAGCAGTTACTCGGTGCTGCGAAGGTGAGGCTCTCCCAACGCCTACCAGGAGTCGAGCAGAGCCACAGCCAAACCAGCAGAGGCAGCTCCTTCTTCCCACTTCAGCACTAAAGCAGTTTACTGAGCATTGTTCCAATAAGCCTTTCAGCCTTTTCCACCCTTGGCTAATATCCAAACTTTGGTCTCGCATCTTTCCGAGTGGGATTTTTTTCCGCTGGGGAGTTAAATAGGTATCACCAGAGTCCCAGCAGGTTCCCTCACTTGGCTAAGAAAAGTTAATCACAGCCTTTTGATTAACTCTTCCTTTCAGCTCTTTAATTTGTCTGTCTGTGGCTTTTCCCCACCAAAAAGCCAAGCAAAGCCTGACAGTTGCTTCACGGGCACGAGACAAATGTTGAACATGTTACATGAGAAAAGGTTAAGTGCAAACACAGCCAATAATCAGAGCTCTTTGGAGGCAGTGCCAGATCTGAATAAATCTGACAGCACCTCATTGCAAAGGGCAAGAATTTATTATTGTCCAGGTTAAACGCCCTGCTCTTATCCCTTCTGTGGCTGGAACCTAAGAAAGGCTCTTTGTGTGCCGAAACCAACATTAAAGTGCCAACATACACAGAATCTATAAGGTGCCTGGGGATTATTCTTCAGCAAATAGTTTCACTTACTTTGGCTTCAGTCTCTCCCCTGTGAAGTGTGTACAAATGATGGACAGCACTTTGTGAGGATGACCAAGGATGTGTCAGGATTTGGAAAACGTGGAAATCGTGGCCTAATGTGTCGGTTGTGACCAGCAGCATCCCTGGGTAGAAACAAGAAACACAAAAGCACAAGAGGTTAATCACTGCAAAAGGAAAAGGTTGAGAATGTCTGTCAGCAAAGTTAACGTGGCTTACACTTGGGGTTTTGGAAACAGAAGAAAACAGACACAGAAAATCACTGAACTGAAAGGGATTCACCTCATAATCAGAACTGGAATCACATTATCAACATTACTACTTAATCATGAATAGAGTATTAAGCATTAACATAGTATGACAACACAAATCTATAAAAACTGACTGAATAATCTGAATATTCTAACTAAATCTGAGAACTGTGTGACCGAGATGAAGCACTGAAGTGATGAATGTCACAGCAAAACCCCAAAATGCTCTTCCCTGGGCACGAGCCAGGCTGGAAGAGACTGATGTTTCCAGAATCACAACTTCTGGAGAAGAGACAGTACCAAACCTCAGCCAAAACAACCCAAGTGAAAGAAACTGATTTATTGGTGAAAGGAGCAAATCAGAGCTGAGAGCTCTCGAGTGAAACACTAAATGAGGTACTAAGTTCATTGCTAACAGGTACTGAAATGATTCAATTCCATCAGCACAACCACAGTAACTCCTGTTTGCTGCTCACCTTTATCTCCCACCATGTGTCAGGCAATAACCCAGTTTGTAAATGTTTACAAACATATCTGAAGTCAATTTGCCATAAATTTATATCAATTTATATCAAAGTATTGTGTACACATAAGAAAAGCACAGCAGAAGTTAGGGCTGCATTAACAACTACAGGTGTATTTTTCTCTCTCAAACTCTCCACATTACTATGTTTTCCATGAAATTTTTTAAGTTCTCACCCAAAGGAACTCTCTGACATTCAATTAACATCAAGTACAAGGTGATTTTAGCAGTTTGACAGTGATATTGAGGTGCCTTCTAAACCATTTTCGAGGTACCAATCTATGAAGGAAAGCCAGGAATTCTCACATAGCTTTGATGGTTCTCCACATAAAGCATAGCTGAAATCTTTCATCCTTCAGGAAGAGAACTCAGTCTCCATGTTCTACACAACATCTCTTGAGAGGATAAATGATTAGCTCATTGCTGCCATTAAAGAGCATTTGGTTCCTCAGTTTATTTACACGTGGCCCCACCATTTGTCTTTGCTGCTCACAGACACAGGGCACGTTTGAAAGCTTTCTCACATCACCACTTGGAACATTGCAGAATTCAACTGGAATCAAATCCTCTTGTGTACAGAGCAGCAGAGAAACACTCTCTTAGCAAAGATTAAGTTTAATTAACTTTTCTCCCGGAACACCATTACATCACGAGATCAGTATTGGGTGTTTTCCCTCCATGGAAATCCTGGAATTCTCCTTCCCTTAAGCCCAGATGGAGGAATTTCAGTGGGCAAAGCCTTGACTTGTTGGCCCAACGTCACTCCCCAGTGCCACTGACGCTGGAGCAGGTTTTGAGGGCACATGAGGCACAGCAAAGTCCTGACACCTCCAACCAGGGCTGGTTATCATCAGAGACTGTGTGTGGGCACGAAGAGGCACACGAGAAGACATAGGAAGAGGCACATGAAAGACACATGAAGAGGCACATAAAGAGGAACACAAAGAGGTGCACAAAGAAGCACATGCCTTGACTCCTCTTGCCCATAACTCTCATAAAATAAAGACCTTGTGAAGATTAAAACAGACTTTCAAGAGGATGAGGCCCACCAGCAGTAAGGTACGAAACCAGAGAGATCCAAATTGCATTCAGAGACAAATTTCCCTATAAATTTCCCCTCTGCTTGACCACTGAGGCTGGCAGGGCTGAGGCAGAGCGTGAGGCCACCCAAGCTGCACTCAGCCTTTCCCTCAAAGTCACACAAATGCAACATCTCAGGTCTGACCTCAGCAAGATTCCCTCCAGCAGACATACTTTTACTGCTGCTCCGATGCCGAGAGCTCGAAATGAAAGGGAGTTTGTTATGGAGCTGAGAAATCCGTGAGTGCATTGGGGTATTATGTTTGGGCGGTAAGGCATGTGAGCTGAGGTTGGGCTGGATGTTAATGTTGGCTTAACTGGCAATTTCCTTGATTTGTAGTGACTGTGTTGATAGGAAATACAGCTAAAGTTGCTCTGGTGCAAGGCAGCCAAGTCTTTCGTGTGGGATTATGCACACAATTTGCATTAATTCTGTTCTGCAACATCACAAACTGCACTTCCCTCCCCGTGAAGTGTGCGGTCCTGGGTAAAACACGGCGTTTCCAGCAGAGCAGGCTGGAAGCAAACAGGGCTTTGTGTGCTTTGGGCTGCCACTCTTACTGCACTGAGGATATTCCAACAGATCTAATTCAACCCAGCAAGGTTTTATCTTCTCTGTTCCCATCGTTGCCTCTCCTCACACATTAGAGAGCTTCATACACAAGGGGGAGTATTCTTCAGATCCTGTTGGGTTCGGATTCCTGATGGATAGGACCTATGGAAAACGAGGAGCTGGAGGAGATGCCTCAGCAAACCTAGATTTGTTTTCTCTTCCCCCAAAGCACCAGAAGTGTTTTACAAATCCAGACCCAGGGCCGAGTGCACCCCAAGATCCCAGCAGTGTTCTTCATGAGCATCCCATCACATGGCAAGGAAGATCGTAAAAAAGAACTTTCAATGGGCCAAAAATCCGACTGGAACTGGAGACAAGAAGCTGTGCAATAAGCATGAGCCAGTGAAAACACTGAATTACCATCCTGCACTGCCCATCAAATCCCCTGGTGTTCAGCTAACCAGGACCTCGTGGCAGTGCAGGTGTCTGCGGACGGCGCTGTAAGCCCCACGACATGCAGACATGGTATCGTTTCACCCTCCTCCAAAAGTCCACAGACCTTTGCCCAAATCTGTAACCCTCTATTTAACCCTCTGTTTAACCCCAGCAGGACACAGCCTGAACACTCAACTTGGGCCCAAACAGCACAACTTGTGGCACACGACCCCACAGAGCCCACGGTGGTACCTGCTGGTTCCTTTGGACACACACACCATGTCCAAACAGCCTTTCTGATCAGTTCCAGATGATGCACAGAGCTCTTGGTTCCATATTCATATGCTTTGCCTTCAGGTTTTTGGGGGCTTTGTGTTTCTTGGATTTGGTTTTGGGTGTTTTTTCTCTCTATTTTTGCTAACTCGAAGGAGTAGAGAGGTGAAAGATAATACATTTGTGGGTGGAAAGGAATTGACTTAAAAATAGAAGGATGGGTGGTATCTGATCTGGCAGTTTTGCATGCCTAATCCAAACTCCTGCTGCCTGTCCTGTTTGGAATACATGCATTTTAGTAGATGAAAGCTGAGGGAAAACAGGCTCTTTGCTTGTATTAGCCTCTTTTTCAGTAAGTTAAAGAAGGACCTTTCACACTCCCAATTTGCATTTGAAGAGCAAACAGAGGAACTCGGATCAACACAGAGGTCCCAAGCACAACACCACAGCTGTGGAAGAATGTGCATTTGTAAAACAGCATTTGGAAATATCTTCCTCACTCCTGTTATTCGACAATAAATCACTGATGTTTTAGAACACTGGACTTGGGTTTCGTGGTGGTATTTTCCAGCTCTCCTTATTTCACCCTGAAGAATCCCAGTTTTCCATGATCACAGCTCAGCCACTTTGCTTCTCTCTCCATCTCCCTGCAACTCCCCACCAGGAATACCTAATCCCAGTGGAGGAACATGAACTGGAATCTTGGTGGTTACCTCACTTTCACTTTCAAGTGCAGGAAACTTCAACTCAGCTTTCTAAGCTAGAGACCTTGTGACAGTTCTCCCAAAAAGCTGTTTGGACGGAAATAGGGGTTAAAGCTTTCCTAAGTTCAGACCAAAATGTTTTCTCTGATGATGTACTTTATAGATGAATAATCAGAGATGAAAAGTGAATAATTCTCGAGGATTTCTTGCTTATTTTTCAAACTGGCATTAATCCCTGTTTAACAGATAACAGCTGAGATCCATTGAAGTCTTGCACACACAGGACTCAGTGGAAATTTATGTGTAAAACAGACATTATTTAGGATGTTTCTCGCTGCAAAGATTCTGATTTTGCTTATCCACAGGACGAGGCTGCAGCCAGATGAAATGAATGACTGTTTTACTGTGTGGCTGTTTTAAATCCACCGCGATGATTAAACCCCAGTTTTAACGGAACAGATATCCTAGATGAGGGGAAAACAAATTAGCAAAGCTTTGTTTTTACCTGCCCTAATTTACAGCTTCCTCCTTTCCCTGCATTCCCCTTGGGAAACCATAAAGCTTCTTTCAGGATAGAAACGTCTCCAAAAGAACACAGGGAATATCTGCATAAAAGGCAAAACTAGTACAGATGTAGACTGTGGGTTAAGAGCTATTTATGCAGTATCAGAAGACTAAACCAGACTCTGGCCAGGCCATAAACTAAGCCCACGCCCTAAATGAGGTGCCAAGCCACAAAAAGCATTTGCGTCAACTGGGAATACAAGGAAAAGAAGGACTTCTAATTATAGGGCCTGGAAGCGGAAGCCCAGAGTGATTAGGAGTTGAGGCGCTGCTGTATGTTTATCTGGGAGCTTCCTCCTGCTCTCTCTGGGCCTGGGTTTGATAGATGAGGGTTGGCCTGAAGGGTGGGACTGGAGCTGCTGCTGGTACACAGAGTTCTCCTCAGTCTGAGGGAGAAGGAACGCTCGGGATTCTGTGGCCTTGTCGGCACATAACTCTTTGCAGCCAGGCGTCACTGGTCAGCCCCAAGGGCAAATTAGAGAGCTGCCAGTCCTGCTCTGAAATCTGGGAAACCTGAGCTGCCCAGGCATCCCCACCACATCCTATTTATAACACCTCCCGAGCTGCAGAGCTGTTGATTGCACACGAACCAGGTCTGCGCAGCGGAGCAGAACGAGGAACTTCAGCAAGGCCATTTTGGGAGGGACAGGAGGGATTTCCACCTCCCCAGACAAGGGCATTGCTCACTGAAGGACTCACAGATGTCACAGAGTATTGGAAGGGACCCATGAGGATCCTTGAC